ACCCCCCAGGGACGGCCCCGGGGGCCTCTTTGTCAACACCAACCGGGGGGGGACCCCTGGGGACACCGGGGACAGCTCAGGGGACAGCGAGGAGGACACGGGGGACAGCGAGGACAGCGATGGGGACACGGATGGGGACACCGGGGACAGCCATGGGGACACCGGGGACAGCGATGGGGACACCGGGGACAGCGATGGGGACAGCCATGGGGACAGCCATGGGGACAGCCATGGGCAGAGCCAGCGCCACACGAGGGACACAAAGGACGCCACGAGTGACAAAAGTGGTGCCAGCACGGGGACCAAGGACAATGGGGACAGGGGACAGGGGGACAGTCCCCAATAAAGGACACTGGAGGTGGCACTGGGGACATGGGGGGGGAGGGGTGGTGGCTCTGTGTCCCCTCCCCCCCCCTCAGTGACACGCGGTGACACAAAAGCGACTCCAGAGAAGATTTATTGTCCCCAGGGCCGGGGGGAGGGGAGGGGACGGGGGGGGGGGCCCAAAGGTGGCCCCAGTGTCCCCAGGGTGGCCCCAGGTGTCCCCAGGGTGGCTCCAGGATTCCAGGGGGGTCCCAAAGGTGTCCCAGGGTGGCCCCAGATGTCCCCAAGGTGTCCCTCACTTGGTGATGGTGTTCCTGGAAGGAAAAGGGTGGGGGGTGAGAATCCCAGTGCTCCCAGTCCCTCCCAGTTTATCCCAGTCCCCCAAATCCCCTCCCAGTCCTTCCCAGTGTCCCCCAATCCTCTCCCAGTTCCCCCAGTCCTTCACAATCCCCTTCCCAGTACCCCCAGTCCCTCCTAATTCATCCCAATCCCCTCCCAGTTTCCTCCTAATCTCCTCCCAGTGCCCCCAAAGCCCCTCCCAGTCCCTCCCAGTCCGTCCCAGTCCGTCCCAGTCTCACGCGTTCATGCTCTTGCCGGAGCCGCTCAGGACAATGTAGGGCGTTTTCTGCGCCCGCTGCTTCTCCTGCAGCAGCGCCACCGTGCCCAGGGGGGTGTCACTGGAGCTCATCTTCTTCAGCAGCTGCGCCCCAAAAACGGGGGGGGACCCCCAAATCAGAGAGATCCCAAAAACTCTGGGAATTCCCCAAAAAAATCGTGGGGAGAAATCCCCCCAAATATCCCCCAAATATCCCCCAAATTCCCACAAAAATCCTCCAGAAATTCCCCCAACCCCCCCAGGCCCCCTCACCGCCTCCTCGTCCAGTTTCTTCATCCTCCTCTCCGTCTTCATCTTCCCCGAGCCCTTCCCGTGGAAACGATGGGAGAGCTGCCGGAACGCCTGGGGACAACGGGGACATCA